GAAAAACCACCTCATCCTAGCGCAAAAACATTCTGTCGAAAAATGTAATTTTTTTCGAAACTGACGTGTTTCCATTGAGCAAATTTATTTTTGAAATTCAAATTTGCGCATTTTCATGGTCAATGGAAACGCAACTTGTGACCGGAAGGTCACCGGTTCAACTCCCCGAACCAACCAGCCCCACCTTGGGCCCCTGAGCAAGGTCCTTAACCCCTCAGCTGCTCCCTGGGCGCTGAGAGTTAACATGTGCGATGGGTGAAATGCAGAGAAATAATCTCCCCTCTGCGGGACAATAAAGACTAAAAAAAAAAAAAGATATTACCCGTCCAACCACTTCACCACCAAAGTAGGAAATCAATGTTGGACGTTAATATCGGCCCAGTTATACTTTCTGACCGATACGATATGCTAAAAAATTACCACCATCAGCTAAAACCAATGTTAATGCTGATATATTGTGTATGCCTAGTCTCTCTCTTGTTGTTTGTTTTATTTGCAGTTTGAGATAAATAAATTTATAGTACATCATGGTGACTGAACTGAACAAACCTCTCGGTGGGAAACTCGATGACTGTGTGAAATTTCCCCTGCAGAGCGGCCGGACCCTCGCCCACCTCGATGTACTTGCTGTCTTCAGTCACAGGAGAGTTGATCTGAGCCTGGGTCCTGGCCTGGGCTTCCTCCAGGCTCAGAAGTTTGGTGGAAGGCGACGAGACCAGGAGGGATTTGGGTCGAGACAAAGAGTTGTGACCTAGTAACGTGGATGAAAGGACATGAAGAACGTAAGTCCAGATTTAGACCCCAGCGTACCTGCAGGGTCAGTGTTTCTTTTGCTCATTGGATTCTCATTTTCGAAACGGGTATTAAAAAACACGAAACGATTGGATATTTGATTTTTGTTTTAAAATACTGAAATTAAAATTAAAATACAAAGCGTGTCTCATTCTCAGTGTCAAAAAGGGATAAACGAAATTTTAAAAATGATTTGAGTTTCATTTTCTGTTTCAGATCGCAAAAAATGAAAATTAGTTTAAGAAAGAAACGAAAAAAGGCTCATTTGTTCATAATCCATGACAGGTCYTACCAACTTACTGTATTACTACAACAAACTGTTTCACCACCAGAAGTGGTTTCTGCAATATCAAAGTTATTCAATAAACATCCCATTACAAGTAAAAAGCATTGATGCTGACTTTGGTATTGAATATATTTGTCAAGTATTTATTTGGTATCAGATCAATATCAAAGTCGTAGTACCGCCCACACCTCACTGAAAGGAACACTCCAAAGACGTAAACTGACAGAAAAAAGCACAGATTTTGTCAAAATTAAGGAGGGAAAAAACTTTCTGCTCACAGAACAACAACTGTACAACACACTAATAGAATGAAAGTTGTCATATTTTGCTTTTTATTGAGAGAAATGGAGGTGAAGTGGAGGCAGTAGCCGACATGTATTCAGGAAAAGAGACTTATTTGGCCAAAAAGCCACATGAAGTATCTCTGCACAGCCTTTGGTCACAGAGAGAGACAGTCATACAACTCATTTATGGACATATTTCTCTGTGTTTCAGCCTTTAGAGAAATCAGTGTTTCATTATGCAGAGCTGCCAGGCGAGCGCCCTCTGATGGGGGAATAGATAGTCATAGAATACAAATAAACAAGCCTTTTTTTGGTTCTGTATTAAAGCAATTTTCTCTTTTGTTATCTGAAACAGAAAAAGAAACTCAAATCATATTTAAAATTTTGTTTATCCCTTTTTGACACTAACAATGAGACACAGCGTTGCCAGATATGAAATGTTGAATTATCGTATCAGCAGCTCAAAATTATCGTATTTTGAGAAAAATTATCGTACACACCCAAGTTACATTCTAGAGAGGCTCAAATTTA